TTAGATAGGAGGTATCCTATCCAACAATAATTCTTCTTTGATTTATTTCTGTGTACTTGACATAAATCAAAATAGTTTTAAACAGAAGTAAAACATTCAGATGAAAAGCAAAGACCAGTGCCAGGTAGTGGTGGAAGAAGTATTCAGAAACTCTACTGAAGTAAAAGTACCAATACTGCAATCTAACAATATTCCATTGCTGGTAAAAGTCCTGCACTGAAGTAAAAAATATAGTATAAAAATAAGTATTAGCAGCAGTATCAAAGCAAAAATCCTAGTTTGGTCCCTCTGACTGACAATATTATACATACCACCAGTATACTTTTAATAGTGAAGCATCAGTGTGTCAGCAGCATGTTACTAGTGGGAACTCCTTTATATCCAGTTTCATATACAAAGACATCAGATAAATGTGAGGCGTCATCAGGTGATTATGGGGAAAGAAGAAGAAACAAAGTTTGGATACACAAATTTGTTTTCAGTTTTTGTACTTCTCTTCTCTTTGATTTTCGCTGAAATGTCTAACGTGTGAGATGTTTGAGGGAAAAAAAATCACTCTTCAGTGTAACAACTCAGAACATCTGAAATGTGATCCTGACAACACACTGCTTTTCGTGAAAAGGCAAAAAGGCTGGAAACACTTGCACAATGTGTTATATTTATAAAAGCTTGTCATGTCATACATCTTTGTCTTAAAAGCAACAAAGGTTGTCAAACAGCTGCAGTGAAGTAAAAAAGTGCTATATTGCTTTCTGAAATGCAGTGAAGTGTAAATGTGCTCACTGTATACTTCAAATATTTCATCTTTATTTTTGTGGTATAGTAAAACTAGTTAGCAAGAAACAGCTGAAGTTTTAGTTCCAAGAACAACTGTAAACAAAGAAAGTAAAACATTCGAAAATGTTGACTCCAGAAATATACTGCATGAAAAAGCTTTTTTTATTACAAGAGAAATAGAAAAGATAAAAGCATTGTTGGCATCATATCGGCTTATCACAGCACAAAAAGCACCACAGACACAATAACCCAAATAAAAAAAATAAAAAAATAATAAAAACTGGAGAAAGAGAGAGACAGAGAATGTGGGGTAATATAATCTTAGTCTTTAGGACCAGAAAGAAAACACTAGCAGCAGCTCCACGATCACAGAGCGTCTAGAAACAATGTACAGAGGGTCCACGAAGGCTTCATGGAGAGTTTATAAAACCACAGAGGTCTATTATACAAAGTCAGGTGGGCACTGTATGTCTGAATAACACAGATATTACAACCAAGACGAGACAGACACACAGTCAAATCCTCAACTTCGCCTCAACATGGCCAAACCTGCCGGTGGAACGAGTCAAAACACCGGCACTGACTGTAAACTCTCAACTGTTTGGTGTGTCCCAGAGGCTCAGGTAAACACTGAGAGTACAAATATTAAAAAGTAGGTTTGTATTGTAGAATATATCTGTAGAGTTTCATTTCGAACTGAGACATCCACTATGTGGCAAATGTGTGACCATTAATTTGTTCTGACACTAAATCTCTTCTCCCTGATGACTGAAAATGAAATGATAATGACGAATTGTGTTGCCCCGAGGTTGTTTTATCACCCTGGTGCCTTTGTTGTTTAAATGTCTCTAAAATAATATAATATATTTGACTGAGGTTAGGTGATTTTACAGTGTCATTAGAGGATTTCGTTTTTGGATCTTACGGTATAATGCTGCATTCACATTCTGGTTTCTGAGTTGTAAAACATTTTAGCTATGGAGGAATGAATATTGGGTGTAGTGAGGTAACAGCGGACACATTTCACACACCAAGAGGTGCTCTTTCATTAGAAATGTGCAGATTTGTTCTATCTGATTTGTAAAATATTATTTATTCTGTTATTTTCATATAAATATGTATATATTATTTGATTTTGGTTGCCTGCTAGCAGGACATTTTCAAATGGTGTTGAATGAAATGATGCAGGGTTCATATCCAAATCTAATTCTAGTATAATAGCCAGTTTTTGCCCTCTTAACATTCCATGATAAGTCAGTGTTCACCTTTCACATTTCCTTACAAACAACAGCACTTCCATGAATGAAAAAAATCTGGCACAAGCATCTCGCAAGTGTTCATCACAGTGTGTTTTGATGCAAATCCAAAATTTGCAGCAAATTTAGACAGTTGTGCAGGTTTGCTTTCTACTTTCTTCTTATTCTAATCTACAAACACTTTTGCTCTTATAATATCTGTAGGGATTTTGTATCTATTTCTAACTGAGTTTCTTTCCTTCTACTAAGCTTCCTCCTGTTTGGTTATTTTTATAAATATTACCCATAAAGCTTGCAGAAAACTTTTTGCGACCGCTGCCCTACATGAGAATGTGTGAGTGAAGCTGCGTGGAGAGGTGCCAGTATTAAAGAAAGCAGCTTCACAGCTGTTTGATCGCTGCTGCAGGCGGTGCCTCGGCAACCCGAGCAGCTTTAGTGGTCCTTGAATGTGGCTTCACAGACGTTTAAGCCCAAATGATCCAAATCCTGAGAAACACACAGCAGTGAGAATATGATGGACGGGAGTTTAAAAAGTAGTTTCTTACACCTTTGAATACCAGATGCTTCGGCCCTTTTGGTCCTCTAGCCACATTCATCGTACTATACAAGCTTTTCCAACACACCGAGTGCCACCACACACAGTTTAACACTAAGAATACATACATGTTTCAAATATACTTTTTATGTGTTCAAGGTACATGCGTTCACGTGTAAACATAGACTCAGCCAATTAGAGGCTTTGGATTCATGGGAGTCGGATAGTATAGGATACATACAAACACACACGCACACACACACACACGCACCCTAACACACACTCAAGCACACCCACACGCACACACACACACACACACACCTGAGATGCCTTAATATTGGGCCAGATTGTTCAACAATACTATAGCTCCAGTTTCCTTTCAAGTGTGACATATATGGTAGTAGTGTGCTATCGGTTGCGGCAGTAAGTCAGTCTTGTGGCAGTGCTGAATCAGACAGTGGTTATCCCCTCGAAGGTTTAACCACGTAGCTTTGTCAAACTATCGAATGGTTTCCATTCATTTAGAATGAAGATAATCAACTAACACTTCAAGAACATCAGAAGAAAATATAGATGAAGTCAACACATACTGTACGTCTCTGATAAATACTGTATAAATCGTACTGATGACATCTTCACTTACTAAACCTAATCAACAACAGTAAACTATTAGAATTCAGTAATTATGCTTGATAATCTACTGTGTAGAGCCTAGTAACTGTGGAAGCACACAGGTAAAGTCTCCGAGACTAAAACCACAAATATCTGTATGTTCAACATAAAGAAGATCTTTCTACAGTCATGCTTTGATCTGGAAATCACAGTAAGTCACTGACTGAAGCAACCTTTGTTTAAACCATACAGTGCACTACAGTGTAGATAGCACAACTAATAACAATAGCAGTAATACTATCTAGAGCTCTGAATTGGAATAGTAAATTACTGATGTCGCGACCCGCTAAATATAATTCAAACACTGTCTGTTAACGATGAAAATACTCACTAAAACTAATTATGATAGCCAAGTCAGCTAATTGTAAACATTGTCTTCCTGTTGGCAATAAGACAATGCCCTCAATTCAGCTTCTGAACACTGAATCTGGACGTGCACCACAGAGGGAGAAATCTCCAAGAATAGTAATTAACCCCTGATCATTGGAATGAAACCAAATTCCTGCAAAATACTGTAACGTAAAATTGAAATGAACTGAGGTGAAAGAACAAGCTGTGTCCCAGTTCACGGGCTGCCTGCCACGAGGTCCAGATTCATCACAACATGCTGCTTCTGTCAATGGAAAGGCTCCTTCTTACTTACACACCTTACGTGTCAGTGAACTGCTTAATGGTGCATTCGAATATCCTCATTAACTCATCAGGTCAGGAGTTGTCACATCACACGTATGAGGGATTTGACTTCAGGTGATATTGCTGCTGTGTAGTTACCACAGGGGATGATTAACTCACTGAAACCTTTCTAAACAGTGTCGTCCTACAGTCCGACTTCTGAAATCCCAGTGAGAGAAGCTCTGGATTGATAAACTGTTGTTATACATGGGTTGCTCTCCAAGCAGCAGGGAGTGTTTAACAAACTTGTTTTTGCCCTGAGCTTCGCCTCTCAGGTAAAATTAAGGTTGCAGAAACTGTCTGACTGGTGCAGGCTGCATGTGGCTTTACAGGGAGAGCTGCAGACACCATTCAAAGGTGAATAAAGTAGCTGCAACTGCTCTGCAGGACTAAGACCAGGAGAGCGGACCACATCGTTCCACTTGTCACATCTTAAACCTTCTTCTTTAAAATTCTACATTATCCGAGGTAGTTCTGCTTCCTGAGGGAGTCAAAACTAAACACAGAGAAGCAGGATTTAACCCTGCTCAACATTTACAAATGACTTTCACTGGTTTGTTATGAGTTGACGAGGATCACCTGAATGCACCATTACCGTTGGCCTCTGGGAGGACAGACTGCAGATTCACCTTTCTATCCTCCACATGAGGCAGCCCCTGAATTGGGACACAGCTCGCGACATCTCCTTGAAGTCACTCAAACACAGGAGTTTCTTCCTGTGACGTCAGTGCTGATGTCATCTGGAGGTCTGGACCTGATTGGGCGGCTGGGCGTAGAGGTACTTCCAGATGGCGTAGTAGTGTATGGCTGCTCCCATAGCTACAAACATGTGCCAAATGGCATGAGCGAACGGGACGATGCCATCGCTTTTGAAGAAGACCATCCCCAGACAGTAGCAGGCTCCGCCCACCAGCAGCTCACACAACCCGGACTGCTCCGGCTGGGGAGAGGAATTATCATTTTTAAAAATGTGAAGATAACACAGCAGGGTGATGTCAGGAATAAATGAGTGGCCTCACCATTGAGAGGATGACCAAGGCAGGAAAAACTCCCATCACTGTATAGCAGATCAACTCCATGATCTTATACCTGGTACAGAGAGGAATAGCTTAGCACTCAAACAACAGGATGCAGCGCTTAAAAATAGCACAAAAATATCTAATTGTGTTGCATACAAAATTCTGAAAATCAAGATAATCCTCAGGGACTACAATACACCTGCAACTTGAAGAAAATAGAAAATACATTATCCAAAATGTGCTGGCGCAGTTGGGCGATAGACGGCATGCTGATGTGGTAGTACTGTCTGTGTCTATTGATGAACCCTTGTCATTTCTTCTTAGTGACAGATATTTAACCTTGTCTGGCAACTTGCATATTAAGTCTGACAAGGGATCATTGCACAAGTAAAAATTGTCACAGTTTGATAGCATTGGCCTTCATACCAGATCAGGAAAACGGATCATCGAAGGAGCTGGACACAACATAAACTGTTTTAAGTTAGGAGAACTGGTGTGAGGAATGAATGGAACAGACTGGTCTAACTCTTGTCTAAGATGAGGATGAGCCTGATGGACTCTGGAACTTCACTGAATTGCATCTTGACAATTGAATATCCGCTAAGGTGTATCCCACTTTTTGCCTACTGTGTCTTTAGTAATAATGCATCCATTCTCATTTTCTGCTATTAAAGATTATTAGTGAAAATATAAGAACCTTGTGAACAGTTTGTGTGACACAGTTGCTGTTCTGTTAACTCGGACCTCAACAAGGTGATCTGATGAAGAAGTGTAGAGGAAGAAAACTGGAAAGCATTTAAGATAATGAGCCTAAAGTTATGGACTTATAGTCGAGAAGGAATTATGTAGTTATAGCCTCATGTTATTTTAAACAATGTGACGCAGAGGTTTAAAGACTTTACATGTTATAAAAAGAAAGCCCGGGCATGAGATCAGTACTTGTTTGCCGCCATCAGAACGTTTATCAGGATGAAAAGTCTGTTGCATCTCTACACATCCAGTGAATTGATAGTAAATTTTGATTTATTGTGATGTTTTATTTAACCACCATTGTTCTTCTTCTGGTTGGAAATGACACGAACAAGTGACAAGATATTGTGTTGAGATGTTAATGATGAATGGTAACTTCTTTCTTGTTTTTTTCGTATTTTCCCAACAAACTATTTTTTTCTTGGTAATCAGTGGGAAAGCTTTTTTTTTTTTTTGCCAACACAGCAATCAAACACTTTATAATTAATAACAAGCTTTTTGCATGTCTCCACTGGGATTTTGGACTGCTCCTCTTTTCTTATGATCTCCAGATTTGAATTTGGAAATGTCCCTGCCATCACTCTGGTTCTCAGTTCCCTCCACAGTTTCTGGATGGATTCAGGTCTGAACTTTGACTGGGTTGCTCCAAAATGCTGATACTGTTTTCTTTTAACCTTTTGTTGAACACTCTGGCTGTATGTTACAGATCATTGTCTTGTTGGAAGGTTCACTGCTGCAACGTTTTTCTGCAGACTGCATGATGTTTTCCTACACAATCTGAATGTAGTCCTCTTTTTTCAAGATGCCAAAATCAACTGAAAAACACCCTCAAAGTATTGCATTCCCACCGCCATGCTTGACTTTAGGGATGGTGTTTTGAGGGTTGGATGCTTCTCCTTTCTCAATGTAAGCTTTTTTAAAGGCTGGGTGAGCTTGTTGTGTTTTAGTGGCACTCTGGTGAGGTTTAGCAACATAAAACCAGCTGTTTTTGGTTTAGCAAAGTCATTTATTGCTTGGTAGGATAATTAACAGACAAAAGAGGCAATAGAGCAAATAAAAACAGGGCCTGCGGGTGTTAAATCAATGAAACTAACAAAATCAAAAGAGTGCTGACAGTGTACCAACTTGCTATGTAAACCACAACAGGAAACAAAACACAACTATACACCCTACTCAAACTGAAATATCCCTCGTCTAGCCAGCACAGAATAACTGACATATACGTGCAGTGTGTGAAATCAGCTGAGCCTGGCGAAGGTTCCCGGCAGCCAGACAAGTGCCTCAGAACAAGAAATCCCAAAAGCTCTGAGCTACAAGTAACCACGATTCAGCAGCTACAAACAGACGAGCACGAGTAACCACCAGCTAGTAGATACAGAGAAACACAAAGCTGTGTTACAGATCTACAAAAAAAAACCTAATGACAGCACAAGGCACAGAGGCCAGCTGCTCACAATAACTCACAGCTGCCTGGACTCACAGGTTAGGTGCACGTCTATACCCAGGTGTAGTGACTGCTGCAGCTGGATTGGAGCACAGCACTGGGCAGCGGTCCAATCAGCAACAAGACCAGACAGCCCTGGTCAGGAGCCAACACAAACCAATTCATATACATAAAGGTCAGGAAGGCTTCACCACAACGAAGAAGGGCAGCCTTGGTCAGCATCCTTGGAGACCAGCTTTGTGCAGTGACAGCTGGAGCGTGAGTTTTGAGTTTTCAGTAGCAGAATTGTTGAAAATCATCAGGATGGTTTTGCGGGTGATGCTTGGATTCTTCTTGGCCTCTCGCACTCCTATTTTTACCAGTGCAGAGGTCACTGTTGGCTTTCTACCGTGCCCACAACCAGTGAGGAAGCCTTGTACTTGTTGATAATGCTTTGCGCTGTCACTAGAAAACACTTGGATATGGCCTTCTAGACTTTACCCATCTTGTAAGCAACTGAAGTGCACAATCAGAGGTCTTCAGGAAGCTCTTTGGTTTCAGCCACATCTTGTAATTGACCAATAACTGACTAGAGAACTTTTACATTAGCTCTTCCAAAGTTAAAAGTGTATTAGAATGCCCTAGGACGCCGCAGAAATTCCCTGGCCCATTTTTAATGCATTCTCTCAAAAAATCTGAGACAATTTAATGCAATAATGTATGAATAATGTTCTGTACAGATTTTTTAGAAATTAAAACCCAGGAAGTTAAAAAATGTATCATTAACACCACTAACATAACCCCTCACCATCCTCTGTCACTTGCTTCTGTCATTTCCATACAAAAGAAACTGAAAACTTACAAGAAACAAAAATTTGACATGGATGTGAAAAATATTTGGGCTTAAGTCACATGATAACTGGGGAGTCAGTTTTATGCAATAATAAGATGCATTTGAAAGTCGACAAAAAGCGAATATGTAGATATTTTAGTTTAGAATACACAAAAGCAGTATTGTTGGAGAAGTTGTTATTTTCTTTCACGGGTCAAAGGGGATTTTTTTTTTCAAGATTTGGTCAGAATGTACAGAATATGTAAAACCTGTAATCTCTGTGAATTGAATATGTCTGTTATATGAAAGCACTTTCTGATATACATTCCTGTTTTGGTTTGTGTAAACATACACACTTTAATGTGTTTTTTCCTGATGCGAGAAGAAATGGAGGAAACCCTCTCCTCCTCTCCACTTGTTATACTTGTTCTGTCATTCTGTTAAAAACCTGGATTAGCAATGAATATTCTCACAACCACAAACTGAATTGTACCGAGAAGAGAAGTTTGGTGTTATATTGCTGGATAAACAGAAAGAGACTGTCCTACCCCAGCTAAAACGAATACATGGATGTTTGAACAGACCTCTCATGGAAGAAGAAGACGTAGGTGGTTCCAAAAGACGCCATGACCCACACCAACCAGCGCATGTGACAGGCCCAGGGACCCAGCTCCCGCAGGTTCAGCCTGTTGAAGCATAAACAGGGAGACATAGCTGCAAAAGTACACGGGCTATCTCATGTATACACACAAACACTAACACACTTAGCAGGCTAGCTTGTTTACCAAGGGGCGTAGGAGGCAGCAATGAAGAAATAGATCACCATCCTGTCACACATGTGGAAACAGTGCTCCACAGACCTGCAGAGAGAGCCGAAACAGCCTCGTGACAACTGAGTGACACTGTTTATACATGATGCATCAGTGTAGCAAAAAAAGGGGGCTGTGCAGGGCTGTTGTTGTTTTTTTTTTTTAGATTTATATTATTTAACCACAGATATCATTTTAAAAATATTGTAATAAAGTCCAAATATGGTGTTAAAACGTGTGCTCTTCTGTGTGCGTACCGTAGGTGGCTCTTCTTCCAGGCCACAGTGTGGAACAGGGTGGAGATGATGAAGAGCGAGCTGAGCCCCGCCCCGTACACCCAGGCTGACAGCCGCTCCCATTGGTCCTCTGACTGGAAATGCAACACTGAGCTGCCCAGCAGGCTGGGGATTATCCATAACTAAACGAATTCAGAGCATAAATGAAACATGAGACACAGAGAGCGCAACAGACAAACATGCAGGACGAACTGAAATCTGCCAGTGTCATTTATCTGTTATGTAATGATGTGTTTTTTTTTTTTTTCTTGTTTTCACTGAGAGGGTCAATTCATCTGAGTGAGGTTCACTTTCTGTGGACTGTGTGTGTGTGTGTGTGTGTGTGTGCATTTACCGCATGCGTGGCACAGTTGGCAGCATGCTCATATTCAGTGGGCTGGTATCTCTTGTTAGGAGGAACGCGGTTGTTCATAAACCTGCAAAGGATCACAAATCAAAACATGCAGGATCAAACCTATTAAATAGCATCTATGTGATCTCAGTTCAAATCTGAAACATGTGGGGGTTTTTTCAGGCAACAACAAAGCATTTATGCACTACAGCTGAAATCAATGACAGTTCAAATTTTCAACTGCACTTCAGTTAGAGTCACTGATTTTTTGCATTAAAAGCAGTGTTCATTGAAATGTCATGTGTTTCTTATGCACAATTTCATTCAATTTTTAGTGACTAATGTCGTCTTCTTAACCCTTGTTTTCAGAGTGTGGATCATCAACACACTGCAAGTTGCTTGTTAACCAAAATAAGATCTGTGCCATACAAATTCAAAATTAGTAGAAACCCATAAGCAACAAATCTGTGAAATTACAAAACTAGAAGTGCTGCAGTTCGTTTAGAATTAATAGAAGTTTATCCAAATCCGTCTGCTATTTTTACTGAAGTTGAATGCACCCTGTGCACATTTAAGGACACTGAAAAACAACCAAAATATCATTTACTATATAACAAGGAAAACTGTTGTCAAACTCATTTTATGCCAGCAAAATTTTTTAATTCACCAAAAAACATGTATTAGTTTAAAGGCATTAATGATGGCTACATATTATTATGCATAAATGTTCCTAAAACATGCTTTAGTGTCCGCTTGTATCTCAGTGGTGCTAATAAAATTTCACCTCACCCTGTCCTTTTGCTTAGCAACGCAAGATCATGCTTCAACTTGTTGCCATGACAGCTGTTGCCTGGCAACAGTGGGTAACCACGGACCGACTGAACCAGAGGTGTGTCCTGATGAGCTCCTTCATAAACAGTTCACATGTATAGTCGTGCTTGCATGTTCACACACACACGCACGTATGCTCACAGACACACGCTAACACACATGTAAACTGGATCTGCTCTGTGGATGTGAACACTTTGCGCCGAGCGGCTCAGGAGGTAGCACTCTGTCAATGATGTCACTGTTGTCATGGAAACCACAGAGCAGGGATCTCCCTCTCCTGTTCCTCGGCCATGTCTCCTCTCTGCTTCCCGATGATTAAATTAACATGCAGGAAGGCAAATGGAGAAAGACATCCATGCAGACACACAAAACACAAACACACGCATGCACACACACACACATACACACACACACAACCACAACCCCTCCCTATTTTTATGCTGCATCTTGCAGAGCGAGATTTTATAAGAGACCTAGATTTAGCGATGTCTCTGTTTCGCACACACGCGCACACATTGTTCTAAGATTGGTTGGAGTCAAAATGAGAAACAGGCTGCCATCAGAGAGAACACCACGCAGTGCTTAGAAGAATCAATTTGTTTCCATGAACCTTAAGATGTTTCAGCCAAAGGGAGAAAACAACAGAGGCCAAACACAAACACCTAACAGAGTAATTCACCCTGCACATCTGTGGAGCTGTGCATGCGTGTGCCTTCTCAGCAGGGAAAAAAAAAAAAAAAGATATTAAATGTTCACACTGCCTACAGCATATCTTAAAAACAACACTCCAGTCCAAGCAGAGCAGCGCCATCCTTCAATTAGTCTTTGGCGTGTCTATGCATGTGTGATACACAATGTTTTCCTCCTACACACGCTGTTTTCAACCTTGTTATTGCTCTGAAAATGAAAAAAAAAATGCTGATTTAAAAGACACTCCAGATCCTAGAGGGACAGATAACAGGAGAAAAACTGGGGAAACTCTCTCCCCTCTATTGTGTTGTCTTTCATTAAGCAGCTGTTTTTAGAGTGACACTCATTCGGAGCTATTAATACGAACTGACCCAGCCCAGAAGCACACCGTCCTGCCCCAAATTAAAGCCTCCCTCGCCCAACTCTGGCCTCACACTGTCTGACTGACTCTCTCTTTGGTGTGTGTGTTTGTGTGCGTATACAAGTGTGTGTCAGTGCCAGGCCCAGCAGGCTTGGCCGGGTCATTAATGACTTTATCAAGCTGGCTGATAATTAGCAGGCCAGAGGCCAGGCAGAGAGACACAGTAACTGGACGGAGAGGAGCTGAGCTGTGGAAACATCACCATAACTCCTCTCGTATGGCAGCAGGATGGACAGACTCTCTGCTCTGGTCGTCTTATTGATCCATGAAGACTTCAGCCCAGTTAATGGTGACCATGAATTAATATTATTGGCTTTTACGGTCATGCTCGTCCTGCTCTTTGAGCAAGTATATCATGTTCATACACTAATAAAAGGACAGAAAATGTGGAAATGAAAGAACACTCTGTGCTAAAATTATTATTTAAATAATTGGCTGACAGAAAACAGATTTGACAGAGAGGAATCTGCGTCTTTTCTCAAACACGTCTGGCTTTATACGTTGGTTTCACAAAACCAGAATCTAATTAGTCAATCAATAATAATAATAAAAACAAAAAAGCAAATAAAATCATCATTAAAGCTCCACAGTCCAGTGAGCTTAACTGCATGTTTAGATGAGAAATGATAAGGCTGTCAAAAGTAAAGTACGTTTACATTTTCAGTGACATTTTCTAACACCTTGTTGGGTCCATTTGACACTAAAAAAAAGAATTAGATTTAAAATTATATAAAACAAGAAAATGTACAAAAACCACAGAAGATGAACCAGAGATGTTTTTTTTCTCGAGAGTAAGAATGTCAGTTAATAAATCAGCCATGTTCTAATGTACGATATCAATAAATGAAGAAACCTTAATACCCAGACAGCTGCCCGCAAAGAGCAAAGCAAGAAACGTTATATAACAAAAGTAACCCACCATCCACCTCTTCAAATTGTCTTGCATTGTTAAGCAGCTAAAAATATAGCTGCTGTGTGCTCCAGCAAGATATCATATTCAATGAAATCATCTCAGAAAGTACGTGGGTTTAAAAGGTCTCGTGCTGTGTGGGCTGCTGCTCTGCTGAAACAACAACAACTCAGAGGAACCATTTGAGTCAATTTAAAGCAAAATAAATAAATAAAATCATTAAATATGACAGCTGCAGCTTCTTAATTGTGAGGATTTGCTGGTTTTCTTTCTATATGTGATTGTAAATGAAACATCTTTAGGGTTTTTGGAGTGAAAACAAGACCTTTACAAGATGCAACGCTGGATTCAGTGGATATTCTAATGGACATTTTACAGAGCAAACTATTAAGCATGGCAATGATTCTTAGTTGCAACACTGGTCTGCTCTGTTTGACAGCCTCAACATGGACTTGATTGGTAAAATCGTGTAACAAATCATGAATAAAGTTGATAAGGATGAGGATGAGGAGGAGGAGGAGGGTGTGTGTGGCCTTTAGTTTGTCACAATGAGCAGTGCAAGCAGAAAAAGACAGAAGATGGACCAAGATGACGATGACAAGAAGGAAGAAGAATGAACTGACAGGTGTGAACTGACAAGCATTTTAAAAAAATAAATGCTTGTCAGGAAAATAAAGGCTGATCCATCATGACATATGTAGAAATACAAATGTTGACTTCATTAAGCATCCTCCTCCTCCTCATCACCATCATCCTTCATGTGATGCATGTCCCTACTTATCTGATCACAGATGTTAAATAAGCAGGATAAAAAAAAAAGAAGATGCTTCCACCTACCTTACAAGATTCATTTACAGTGGAAATAAGCAACAGTTGACAGCAGACAGACAGTGTTGGCCAAAGCCTGAATCCCCTCTGACTGTTGGGCGATTTTAACCCGCTGCGTTTTTGTTTTTTTGTTTTTTTTGTTATTTCTTTTTTTTTTTTTTTTCCCAGTTCAGCTCAGATTGTAACGAGGAACATTTCGTGTAACGTAACGAGCATCGCCGCCGTTTCACCGTCGTCGTCTTATCCTCATCTCAAGCAGCACCGGGAGACGGACGCATCCCGATCCAGCTGCCTCCAGAGGGTCCGGTCCGGGAGTGTGGGCGGCGGGGAGAGAGTGCTGCTGGTCGGCGCTGCTGCTGCTGCTGCTGCTGGAGCGGCTCTCTCTCTCTCTCTCTCTAGCTCTCTCTCTCTCTCTCCCTCTCTCTCTCCAGAGCCAGTTCACCTCATCACGACTCGGTGAGGAGGCTTGTTTTTCATCACTGAAGGCTGCCACATCATTTTCTGAGGGACTGATTCATAGCTGGGAAATTCGTGCAGATTTGCGCCTGTGCGTGCACATCCTGCTGCTGCCTGCAGGTGGAGACGCAGGCGAGCAGTTGGAGAGGCTGAACACACTGTAAACACAATATAATGATGGTGGTTGTGTGTGTGTTTTTTCCTTATTGTTGTGTTCAGATAAAATTAAAAAAAAGAAGCTCTTTGCTTTTCTAGTTCTGTCATCACCTCTCAGGATGTGGAGGAGTTGTGTCTCCAGTGGAAAAATATAACCCCGGTGATGTCACTGTGATGTCATCCGGGTTATCTGGGGTGGATTTTGGGAGTGAGTTGCAGCCCCAAGCTGAGTTTAAGTATCTCACGGTTTCGTTCATAAGTGACGGGAAGATACAGCGTGAATTGGACAGATGGGTTGAAGCAGGATCAGCAGTAGTGCCGGTGTTGTACTGGAGCTCAAGCTCTCCATTCTTTAGTCCAGATACGACACTGTGACGACGGAGCTGCAAAGGATCCTCGAAGAATGGAGTGCATTTCGGCGTGGCAGAGAAGGCTGGGGACGTGTGTTAGACTCCAGGGGGATTAACTTGGATGGGCAAAACTTGTAGTTTGTAGTTTGGATTTGGATTATATCTTTTGTGACACCAGTCCTGGAATTTTTCGGACACACCTCGTACCTTCCAAAAGCCACCTGTGCTCATGAATTCTGGACAATGCCTGAAAGAATGAGATTGTAGATACAAGCGGCCAAAATGGCTTTCTGCCTTCGATTGGCTCGGCTTGGTTGTAGGGATAAAGTGAGGAGCTTGGACATCCAGAGGGAGCCACTCCTTCAAATCAAAAGCAGTCAGATGAAGTAGTTCAGGCATCTAGTTATCAGATCTCCTGGGTGACTACCTCTGGAGGTGTTTTGGGCCAACTGAGAGGAGATGATGGGGTAGACACAGAACTTGCACGAGGGATTATATATCTCATCTGGCCTGGGGATGCCTTGGGATCCTCCAGGAAGAGTTGGTAAGCGTTGCTGGGGAGGAGCACATCTGGAGTAGCCAGCTGCTGCTATGACCCAAGAGGGTCAGCAAAGAAAATGGATGGATACGTCCGGAGATTACACATACTTAGAGGAAACTGCATTTTGCATATTCAGCATTTACAGTTGGTCAAATTAAATTATCGTTACTAAAACAGTGGTGGTACAAACTGCAGCTGACCTGTGTTCACACTACAACACAAAGGATGCTGATTGTTCTGTTCAAGTTTTTGTTGCTGCTGTTTCAAAGCTGAAGTATTTTAGAACAATTGCTGCTGCTTGAACCTTCTATCTTGACTAAACACGGTTTTATTTGCCCCTGCCACAGAGTGGAGCACTTGTCTAAGAAACCCTATCTGGCAAATGCATTTTTTTTCTTCCATTTTTTAAATGAGTTAACAGCATCATCGCCACATTTTAGAAGGTAAATCAAATATGTTGTCAAGTAACGCATAGCAATGTAACTTTTATCTAATTTCACATTTTTTTGAAAAAAAACATACACACACACACACACACACATATATATATGCACTGATTATGGTTACTTTTTTGTAATCAGATTAGTATAATCTTGATATGGGAAATTCTTACCACTCAACATAACTGATAATGTAATGACTCTATAAGTCCATGGTATGTCCTCCAGTTTCTATAAAAAGTGAAAGTTAAAAGTGAGTTGATTTAAACGTAAAGCTGTATTTTCAGTTTTGTCAACAGCTGTCTCTCGCATTTAGAGGCTCAAGTAGCAGAATTTGGATGATTGGATGGTCAGTTATTTTAGACATAACATGCTTGTAGCTTCATCTTTTTACTAAAGAGCCAGAGCCACAGTTGTTAATCATTTAGGCCGATGATTGACTTCAATGGGTGGCCGTAGCTCAGGTCGTACATAGGTTGTCCACTAATCCTAAGGTTGGCAGTTTGATACCGGGCCCTTCCTTATGCCTTAGTGTCCTTGGGCAAGACACTGAACCCCAAGTAGCTCCTGATGGCAGCTACCACTTTGAACTGCAGCTCTGTTATGTGAAACACATTCTAAGACACATTTAGAGAATCTCAGGTTAAACGGGTGCTTATAAATGTGGACCATTTACCATTCCAGGAATTTTGCAATGCTATTGACATATTCTAACATGTTGAATTATGGGAAATGTGGGATTCAGTGTTTTTAGAGCTTAACTCATACTATAGACTATAGTTCAGGATATGTTAACCTCTACTGCGTCAGGCTTCTCCAGTTAACAGCAAAATGAGTTCCTGCTGGAGCTCTAAGAACAACTGAATCTGACTAGTTTGAAAACCCAGTCCAAAGTTTTGATTGTTTATTTACTTTTCTTATTTTATTTATTTATTTATTGTGTGTGTTTGAGCCCAATCTAGTCACACATATTTGCATGAGCTGCATCAGTAGGCAGCAGTGGTGGAAAGTACCTGAGTACACGCTCAAGTACTGCGATTTCCATTTATACTACTTTATACTTCAACTGTCAGATTTATCTCATGACTTGTTCCTAGTTTTGAAGCCACTGGATTAAAGCAATAAAGTGCTGCCTACGCACTAATGCTTCAGTATTAAGGAAAGAGCCCACACAAGAGAAAGCATGGTGCTGACTGACTACTTATGCTTTTGATGACTGAAGTGCATTTTGCTAAAAAAAAAAAGAAATAATAATAATACAAATTCTCTGTTTTAACTAGTAGGATTTTGACTTCTGCATATAATGGAGTATATTCAGACTTACGTACTGGTCCTTTTCCTCAAAGAAAGTCTTTTTTTTAATATTTACTTTTTCAAAAATGAAAGCATTTTTTCTACACAGCTTGTAGTATGGTTCAGTACTGGGACACATTATTATCACATGTTTTGTAGAAGCTGAGGAGTGTTGGAGAAAGTAGGTAAGTTTGGGTGTACTCAGCATTATCAGTTATTATAGTCCTGGTTTTGTCTGTGTAATGTATCCTGATAATAGTAAGAATGGGCTGTGTCTTACAGGTCTGAGAGCAGAAATAAAACTACTTTGTTAATCATTCATCCTTTATGAAATGTGTAAGTGTGTGTTTATATATGAGTCCACATTAAACCAGTGCGTCCTCACCTGCATGACATATAACCTGTTACAGTTGTCTGCCGGATGGTCTACATGTTGCTTTAAAGTCTTCTCTACCACGTAACAATATAATGTGGAGGAGTACTACATCCTGTCAAGCTTATTTTTGTAAATTTTGCCTAAAAATTGTCAAATTTAAGTGGCAGCCTTCAGAGCTGAGAAATGAACCAACGCTGATCTGCCAAAAAAACTGCAGTTCCTCCAACGTCCACTTGAGGCTGTTCCAACAACAAGTTAGTCCCCACAGACCACCATGTTGACATGTCCAACTGTACAGCAGAAATAAACATTTTTAAGCCTGATACAAAAAAAAAAGCCTCTATAGTTAATTTCACCTGCTTAACAACTGTAAGGAAAGTGCTTTTTTTAATGCAACACACTTGTTTAAACTGTGTTAAATTGTTAAAGTTATGCATAATTAGGGCGCCATAAACAGGGGCTATAGTCCCCAACACAGCGGCCATGGGTTCAAGTCCGACCCACGGCCATTTGCTGCATGTCCTTCCCCCGCTGGTCTTTGTTTCCTGTCTCTCTGTCCATTGTCATCTATGATAATGGAAAAAAATAAGTTTCTTTTTTAAAGTTATGCATAATTAAGGGCGTGGCCTCTTTGAGTGACAGGTCGGTGCTGTCATTGGACACCACGTGGCCTGACTCACTCCAACTCCTTGCTCACTTTTGGATTAGTCAGGAGTTAGGTGGATTCAAGCACTGCTGAAATGGCAAAAAACCAAAACCAGTGATGTCATGTGACGACTTTAACTCCTCTTCATCCATCCATTATCTATACACCGCTTAATCCTCACTAGGGTTGCGTCGGGGGGCTGGAGTCTATCCCAGCCGACTTAGGGTGAAGGGGACACCCTGGACAGGTCACCAGTCTATCACAGGGCTACACCTAGAGACAGACAGCCAAGCACACTCACATTCACACCTACGGACAATTTAGAATCACCAATTAACCTCAGCATGTTTTTAGACTGTGTGGGAGGAAGCCGGAGAACCTGGAGAGAACCCACACTGCACGGGGAGAACATGCAAACTCCACGCAGAAAGATTCCAGTGCCCCCACCGGGACGCGAACCGGCAACCTTCTTGCTGCGAGGCAACAGTGCTGCCAAATGCGCTCATCTTCAGGTTGACAAAATCATCTAAACTCACATAATCTGGGCCTGTTCCTGGGGTTCACAGTTCTCATCAGCAGGCTGAGTTTGCTCAGTTGGAACTGTGGTGTTCAAATTCTAAAATATTTTCAGTATCTCTTCGAGCAAGAGGAGATGAGAATGTTTCATGACTGCTGCTTCAAAGACCAAGAATAAAGCTTCGAGGTCAAATTCCTCATCAACGACTTCAAAAACAAGACACACATATACACACATAATGAACCACG